GGCTGCTGGAACGAATTAATTTTGTAAGTAGAGGTACCACTTTATTTCTTTTTTCCCTGCCATTTGTAATACAGTTGGCCTTCTGCATCCACGGAAGCTTTATCCATGGACTCAACCATCCACAGCTTGAAAATATTTTAAAAAATATAAGTTCCAAGAAGCAAACTGTGATTTTGCCCTTTTATAGAAATGACATCATTTAACTATGCCACTGTTTATAATTATGTAGTATTACATGTATTATTTGACTCAAGATCAAAATCTAGGTGGTTTTCCTTTTTCCAGAGATGGATGCTCAGACTTTTCCTTTCTAAGGAAATGTTTTGAACACAGGCTATAATGTAGCTGCACATCTTTAAAAATGTTTTGAAATAGTTCAAGTATGGGCCAGGAATATATCTGATGGAACTTTGATGGCACAGTTTTTAAGAGCTGAAGTTTACTTCTGCCTTTTGGGAAGCATATTCTACTGGTGGAAAAATGGGAAACATTCCTTGCCTGGCTCTAGTGTATTTATATATGTGATGCAGTATGCATTTTAGCCTATAGAAATCTGAGGAACACATATCAAAGATGTGTACATCTCCCTTTTTTCCCTCTACTTCACCTCTACTCTGGAGGAGGAAATTCTAGAAATATGTACATCAGGAATAAAAAACAGCACTTGGGTTCTTTGTAACAGTGATGTAACAGGATATGCTGCTGCTTTTCTTTAAACATTTTTTAAAAACAATGTTGTGACTTTAAAACTCCATTTAATTCTTTGAGGAGAAAGGGGCACATAATCTCCCTGCCCTAAAAAGGCTAGAATGAGTCCCTTTGAACTCAGAAGTGGAATGTTTGAGCTGTTGTTTTCAGTAAATGACTGACTACATTGTGCTACAAGAACATAAAGTACTTGAGTCCAAATTGTATCTTTCATTTTCCAGTTTACAGCAAGCAGATCTCAAAATGGAGTTTTGTTCCTTGTTTCTTTTTTAATTTTTTTTAGGAGAAGTCTGATAAAAGATTGTCTGAACTCATAGCAGGGAAGGAAGAAAAGAAATGAATCCAGAATGTAAGATGATGCATGTGTGTTTCCTACTTGTAGCATTAGTAAAGGAAACAAGAGGAGTTGTTAACTTAACTCTGAAGATGTAATTTGGACAGAATAAATTAATTTGATCTTAAGTCAAATAATATATGTAATACTATTTTCAGTTGTTATTGCTGATGTGTTAAATTATTATTATTAGCATATACATTTATATCTCACCTTTTCCTCAATATTAAGTTCTCCTGAAAAAAGAGAAAGAAAAAAAGTCTGTGATGTATTACACCTCTCCTTTGGTTTGTGGCTTAGAGCTACCGTATTTTTTGGCATATAGGATGCACTTTTTCTTCCCCAAAATGG